ACCCATTATAGCCTCATGGCCTTATTGGGTCAATGACATGCACCATGTCTGTGTATTGTGCATCAGCACCACCACTTGCAATGTCCATTGGAAGAGCATGAGATCAAGTGACAACTCAGAAGGACAGTTGGGAGAACAGGACAGAGCATTGTCACCCTATAGCAGAAGGAGCACGAACAAGGACCTTAATGGTAGGGTCACCAGGAATTATTTTAATGTATTGAAATGGCCACCTCATCTCCACTGCTAACCCATGTGATATGGTGACAACTCAAAGTGAAGAAATGTCACCAGCGCACCAGGGATTCCTCAAAATGGGTCCAAAGCTTTATTTCATGGTCAAATCTTAAATACTAAGGTAACATTTCTCCGCTCAGTTGCCTGACAAATGGTCCGCGTGTGGCTGCGAAATGTTGCCTTCATGTGACCACAAAATAAAGCTTTGGACCCATTTTGAGGGTCTTAGTGTGCTGGTGACATGTCTTCCCTTTTGATTGTCTACGGTTCCCAGCCTCTGGTCACTACAGCACCCAGCAATACTGAACAGTCATTTTCATGAATGTGTGTGCTGGGAATATTGCGTTTAGAGTGACTACTCAGGAGCACAGTTGAGAGACAGGGACAGAACGTGGTCACCCTATAGGAGGAAGTGCCTGAACAAGACCTTCATGGCGGGACATTTTTTTAATATGTTGAAATGGCAACTTCACATCCATTGTGAGCCCGCAAAATGTTGCCTTCATGTGTCCACAAAATAAAGCTTTGGACCCATTTTGAGGGTCTTAGTGTGCTGGTGACATGTCTTCCCTTTGATTGTCTACGGTTCCCAGCCTCTGGTCACTACAGCACCCAGTAATACTGAACAGTCATTTTCATGAATGTGTGTGCTGGGAATATTGAGTTTAGAGTGACTACTCAGGGGCACAGTTGAGAGACAGGGACAGAACGTGGTCACCCTATAGGAGGAAGTGCTGGAACAAGACCTTCATGGCAGGACATTTTTTTTTTAATATGTTGAAATGACGACTTCACTTCCATTGTGAGCCCATGTGACAATGCAGGAGCAAAGTTGGGAGACAGGGACAGAACATTGTCATCCTATAAAAGGAAGTGCTGGAACAAGGACCTTCATGGCAGGATCTCCAGGGACTTTTGAAAAGATTAACTTTTTAAAATTGATATAAAATTTTAACATTTTGGGTTTCCATCTATTTGAACCAAGAAACCTACCGTGACTTAGAGGGCTGAAGACGTTTGTGGCGGCTCCTCTGCCCCTCCGTGTTTATTTTTGAGAAGACGGCGCTTTAAATTACCGCCCCGGTATGTAAAAATAGCCAGATTTACAGAATAGTGTACAGCGAAACAGCTGCACGGCATTGTGCCGATTCCCTCCAGTCAGCAGAGAGGCGAAGGAATTCATCGCAATTATGTGCGTTGTCCCAAAGACGACCGTTTATTGCTGATGCAGCACAGAGCCCGCCTCGAAGTTTTTTTTTTTTTGGCCCGGACCTGGCGTCAGAATGAAGCTCCTAATTCATGTTTAATATACCGGGAAGGAACCGAAGCAGAACGGCGCACAGGGCCCAGGCTAGCAACTCGCCATCTCCTAAAATATCCCTTGGTGCGGGATGAAACGATCATTTGTCAGGGAAGCCGTAGTGACAAGACACTCTCTATCGCCAATTTAGGAGCCATCTGCCTGCAATGGTTTGTTTAACTCAGCGCTGCAACTGCGTATATATATATAAATATACGTATGGAAACGCACTGTTTATATGCGGGTTCTACATAGGGTACGTCACAGAGCTGTTCTGGGAACGCCAAAGGCCTCTCTTTCTCTCCAGTCTCCTCGGCTGACTCCTAAGGTGATGAAGAGAGACTCTATAGGGTGAATGGCCATATTTTACATTTTGTGTACGGATTACAGCCTGACAGGGCTTGTTTATATAGAAGATATACATTGAATACATTTGCCGAAACCCAAAGCTGCCAGATAGACATTGCCATTTAATGTTGTATATGTTAGTGGTCTCCAAACTGTCGCCCTTTGCTTGCCTTTATCCAGCTCTTGGGTCATTAATTCTCCCACTGACACCAATGATGAGTCACCGTCCCTTCAAATGATACTAACATTGGGGCATAATTCCTCCTACTGATATATACCATGGATTGCTATTCCTCCCTCTGACACCAATGATGGGGCACTATTCTGACCGACAGCAACAATGGGCTACTATTCCTTCTACCAACACCAATGATGGGGTACTATTCCTTCCTCTGACATTAATGATGGGGCACTATTCCTTTGACTGACACCAATAATGGGGCACTATTCTTTCCTCTGTCACCAATAATGGGGCACTATTCTTCTGACCGACAGCAACAATGGGGCACTATTCCTTCTACCAACACCAGTGATGGGGCACTATTCCTTCCTCTGACATTAATGATGGGGCACTTTTCCTCTGACTGACACCAATGATGGGGTACTATTCTTTCCTCTGTCACCAATAATTGGGCACTATTCTTCTGACCGACAGCAACAATGGGGCACTATTCCTTCTACCAACACCAGTGATGGGGCACTATTCCTTCCTCTGACATTAATGATGGGGCACTTTTCCTCTGACTGACACCAATGATGGGGTACTATTCTTCTGACCGACAGCAACAATGGGGCACTATTCCTTCTACCAACACAAATGATGGGGTACTATTCCTTCCTCTGACATTAATGATGGGACACTATTCCTTTGACTGACACCAATGATGGGGCACTATTCTTTCCTCTGATACCAATTATGGGACACTATTCCTTTCATTGACACCAATGATGGGGCACTGTTCCTTCCACTGATATCAATGATGAGCCACTGTTCCTTCCACTGATGGGGCACTATTCTTTGCACTGATACCAATAATGGAGCACTATCCCACCGACACCAATGATGGGGCACTATTCCTCCCACTGACACAAATAATGGGGCACCATTCTTCCCACTGATAGCAGTGATGGGGTACTATTCCTTCCTCTGTCATTAATGATAGGGCACTATTTTTTTGACGGACACCAACGATGGTGTCCGTACGATGGTACTATTCTTTTCACTTATAGCAATTATGGGGCACTATTCCTCCCACTGATACCAATGATGGGGCACTATTCCTTCCACTGATGCCAATAATGGGCCACTATGCCTTGCACTGACACCAATGATGGGGCACTATTCCTCCCACTGATACCAATGATGGGGCACTATTCCTCCCACTGACACCAATGATGGGGCACTATTCCTCCCACTGATACCAATGATGGGGCACTATTCCTCCCACTGACACCAATGATGGGGCACTATTCCTTCCTCTGACACCAATGATGGGGCACTATTCCTTCCTCTGACACCAATAATGGGGAACTATTCTTCCTTCTACTGCCATAGCAGCAGATTCTCAAACTGGTATAGTAAGAACTACTTGAATTTGCCACACGTGCCGGTAATGGTGAAAATGCTTGCCTGAATTAGGCGCTGGTAGTTTTTAAGGGAACTACTGCCAGAAACCAGTCCTTAAGTCTGTATTGAATTCCCCTGTTTATCCTTTGGCATGATGCTTCTGATGTGTTCAAGATGCTTTGAGCCATTCCTCTGGTACCCTTGGTAATCCTTGTTTTATATGAGTAGCCTTGCTCAAGCCTGTGAGCTAATTTATAGTAGTGCAAAATTCATGAACGGGCCTTACATGCACTTTAAGTATTGGTTCTTAGAGAGTTGACAGGCCTTTTCTCCAAAAACTTTGGTTTGCAACACAGAGGGCAAAAAAAAATGTGTATTTCCTTAAAATGGCCCTAATTCTCAGTAATGTTACTAGTTCCACTATAAGAGGCCGTAGTTATTACTGGACAATATGGCTGCCTGTGGTATTCAATGATATGTTATAACCTGATTTACTTTTGATCACTTTTATTTTTGCAAGTCTCAATATTAGTACTCGTCATGGGAGAATATGGGGGCCACCATTGTGAACCTCCTGAAGATGCTGGTGGCCTGGCCCACCTCTGACCTTGAGGCTTCTGTACTTTTGTGTCACTAATCCAGAATAAGAATACAGATACGATAAGTTGGGGAAAAGTCATTAGTACTTATCTGTTCTGTATCAGTGACTAAATGTACGAAAACCAGCTGGATGGCCAGGCATGGCATTTTCAGAAGGAGAGGTCCTAATGGAGGCCGCCATGTTTTCCCCATGATAGGTTTCCTATGCTGTGAATGTTATATTGATGTTAAGAACTGTCATTATAATATAAATCATGTCTGTCCTTCAACTGCGTTTCATTTTACGTTTTTGAATATGTAACTTGTTTTCTTTCTCATTAATCCTCCTTGATATAGTGTTCCAGTTATGGGCGAAATCTGGTGGGAAGACTCACCAACAGGCTACCTAAAGCCTAACTCCAGCCAATTTTTGTTATTTGTTTTAGATAGAGTGAGGAATAGTTTATGACCCCAAAGGGGAGATTTCCCCCTCACTTCCTGTTCCTGTGACACCTGTACAAGAAAGGGGGGGGAGCAGTTGTCACTTGGACAGAAAGGCAAGGACAACTTAAAACACATTGTTGGACATTCTAACCCTACTGTAATCCACTAAAAATGTGGTTTTGTTTTTAGTCTGTGTCCCAACCGGAGAGATTTCCCGTAACTTCCTTTCCTGACCGGAAGTCAGGAGAAATCTCCCCAGCAGGAACACAGACAGAAATACCAATCAGACAGGTTATAACCCTTCCTCGTTCTATCAACAAGTTTTGGCTGGAGTTGGACTTGAAAGGGCTACTCCATGTTAATGTACCAGGCCTGTGGTTAACCGTTCTCCCCCCGATGTTGTCGAGCGTGGAGAAGAAGCTGAGCTTTTCCTGGTTATGATTTCAGACGTTAAGAAAGAAAGGTTTTAACGGGTGCGACAGCCCCGAACCGGACGGGGATGACTCCATTGATCAGAGCCCTCTCATGGAAGACAAATATCGCAAAGCCAGCGAGGACTTGGACATACTGTTCAAACGCTATGGCGTAAGTACCTTGCCTTCTCCAGCAACTCTTCATCTCTTCTTTTTTTTTTTTCTTTTCTCTGTTTTCTCTCCCTATATATCTCTCCCCACCAAAAAAAAAAAAAAAAATAATTAATAAAACCATGAAAATAAAATTGGGACAAAAAAAAAAAATACCTCACCCCACCCTGATGTGAAAAAGCAGGCGCTGAACAAGAAGCACAGAGAGTACGAGAGCCCGGACGCGGACGAGGTGTTTGCGCTGACTCCGCAGACGGAGGAGAAATATAAAAAGATTGACGAGGAGTTTGATAAAATGATGCAGAATTATAGACTCGCAGTGAGTACCGCAGGGGAAGGAGCTAGAGGCCACAGCAGCACTGCAGGCTCCTGGGTAATGTACTGACACGGGGGGGGGGGGGGGGGGGGGGGGGGGGGGATGGGAGGTGATTTTCCACATTAGGCAGGCAGAAGAAAGCCTTGGTTGATACATAGGCTTCAGCTGTCAGTGTGCCATTGTTATGTAGCCACAAGTGTCAGTGTGTCATTGTTCTGTGATCCTAAAGTGTCAGTGCAGCATTGTTCTCTAACCCCAGCTGTCAGTGTGTCATTGTTCTGGGACCCCTAAGTGTCAGTGTGTCATTGTTCTTGGACCCCCCAAGTGTCAGTGTGTCATTGTTCTTGGACCCCCAAGTGTCAGTGTGTCATTGTTCTGTGATCCTAAAGTGTCAGTGCAGCATTGTTCTCTAACCCCAGCTGTCAGGGTGTCATTGTTCTGGGACCCCAAGTGTCAGTGTGTCATTATTCTGGGACCCCCAAGTGTCAGTGTGTCCTTGTTCTTGGACCCCCAAGTGTCAGTGTGTCATTGTTCTTGGACCCCCAAGTGTCAGTGTGTCATTGTTCTTGGACCCCCAAGTGTCAGGGTGTCATTGTTCTTGGACCCCCAAGTGTCAGTGTGTCATTGTTCTTGGACCCCCAAGTGCCAGTGTGTGGGATTGTTCTGGGTCCCAAGTTTCAGTGTGTCATTGTTCTGGGACTCCCAAGTATCATTATGTCATTGTTCTGGGCCCCAATTGTTGAGGTGTCTTTGTTATGAATCCCCAAGTGTCAGGGTGTCATTGTTCTGGACCCCCAAATGTCAGTGTGTCATTTTTCTTGGACCCCTAAGTGTCAGTGTGTCATTTTTATTGGACCCCCAAGTGTCAGTGTGTCATTGTTCTGGACCCCCAAATGTCAGTGTGTCATTTTTCTTGGACCCCCAAGTGTCAGTGTGTCATTGTTCTTGGACCCCCAAGTGTCAGTGTGTCATTGTTCTTGGACCCCCAAGTGTCAGTGTGTCATTGTTCTTGGACCCCCAAGTGTTAGTGTGTCATTGTTCTGGGTCCCAAGTGTCAGTGTGTCATTGTTCTTGGACCCCTAAGTGTCAGTGTGTCATTGTTCTTGGACCCCCAAGTGTCAGTGTGTCATTGTTCTTGGACCCCCAAGTGTCAGTGTGTGGGATTGTTCTGGGTCCCAAGTGTCGGGTGTCTTTGTTCTGCATCCCCAAATGTGAATGTGGTATTGGCATAAACATCCAAATGTCAATTCATCATTGTTTTGGATCCCCCAAGTGTCAGTGTGTCATTGTTCTGGGACCCCCAAGTGTCAGTGTGTCATTGTTCTGGGACCCCCAAGTGTCAGTGTGTCATTGTTCTGGGACCCCCAAGTGTCAGTGTGTCATTGTTCTTTGACCCCCAGGTGTCAGTGTCTGGGATTGTTCTGGGCCCCATGTTTCAGTGTGTCATTGTTCTGGGCCCCAAGTGTTGTAGTGTCTTTGTTATGAACCCAAGTGCCAATGTGTCATTGTACTGGACCCCCAAATGTCAATGTGGTATTGGTATAGATATCTACGTGTCAGTTAATCAATGTTCTGGGATCCCCAAGTGTCAGTGTGTCATTGTTTTTAACCCCAGATGGTAATGTGTTTTTGTCCTGGGACCCCTAAGTGTCATTATGTCATTGTTCTGGTCCCCAAGTGTCGGGGGGTGTCATTCTTATGGACCCCCAAGTGTCAGTGTGTCATTGTTCTGGGACCTAAGTGTTGGTGTGTCTTTGTTTTGTGAGCCTTCAGGTGTCGTCATGTCATAAGTTTGGCACTGCAAGTGTGTCATTGTTCTAATAGGCCGAGTGTGCTATTGTGTTAGGACCCCGAGTGCCAATCTTCAGTGTATCGTTGTGGGAACCCAAGTGTCCTCTTCTACCACCTGTTGTTGCCGTGTCATTGTCCTGGCATCCAATATGCCAGCGTATCATTGTTCTGGACCCTTAACTGTTTTGTTATTGGAAAGGTACAGTATGTATTGTCTTTACACTCAAGATGGGAGCCTGCAGTGCTGCTTACTGGAGATTGAAATCCTAACCCTATACTTCAGGAGTGGGCCTGCTACACACAGCTCAGTAGCCCATCCCTTGGTGGAAGGGTTACGAGTCTAAGGAGTGTGTTTTTCTGCATGGCTGTGCTTCGTGGCCTGGTTTGCTCAATATTCACATGAGGTGCCAGCATAGATAAAGTGGACCTGTTACATTTGCAAACATCCATTTTTTGTATGGTGAATCAACGTTCAGCGTGCCCATTCACATCTTGTGTGTCAATGTCGGTCTTTGTGAACCAATGGGTTTCATGGACAGTGGTTCATTTAACAAAGAGGCTGTCTGTAGCAAATAGCAGGTCTGCTTTACTATGCGAGACTAATGAGGTAACTAGAGGCATGGGCCTTGTTTATTGAAATGAGAGGGAATAAAAATTGTCACCTTCTGTTTGCCCATGTCAACCAATCAGGTTGCCAATGCAGTATGGAAGAGTTTGATTGGGTACTATTGAAAATGATGGTCAAACTTCGCTGCAATGGGCAATGCAGATGGAGCATTTGGTTATTAATAAACAAGAAACAAATGTGTCACTGAATTTTAGTGTCCCAATCATCTTTTTAGTGACCTGTCCCCCATTTTTAAAATACGTTTCCCCCCATCGAAATCGTTAACACTCGCCTAAACCAGTAACCAGCTTATCCAGATTGAGTGTGCTTGACTTGGCTTTCCTCTGACAATTGAATTTCTTTGACTTGTTTCATTTTTCACTGACAATTAACATTCACTTACCACTGTTGAATAGATTGTGTTTATTCACTGACTCCACTCTAAATCTTGACATCAGAGTGGAGGGGGGATCTTAATTACGGGGAGCGTCTAGGATGAAAAGACACCCTGCAATTTGAACGTATAATTTATCAGATGTTCCCTAAGTCATAACGCATGAATATGTTAAACTCGGTGTGGGATGCTGTTATAATAATTATTATAAGTTAGAGTTATCGGACAGGTTGCAGTGGGTGTGGAAAAGTTTTAGCACTTGTCTTTTATACTGTATGCTTGCTACTCTTCAAACTGCAAACTTTATTGGCCCTGGAGGTTGGTGGAAGACACGGTTGTCCTCAACAATATTTTAGCCTACATGGGATAGAAGTTAAAACATCTATCATATGATCAAAATGTTTAGTTTAAACTTTTCATTTCAGGTGTTACTAGTGAGGAGTATGATTAATGTTTCCACATACAAAGTCTCATTGGACAGTTGTGTGCTTCCAGCCTTGTAGAAATGGGTTGAGGATGGTCTTTCAGTGTCCCTGCATGACCGTGCCCTCGTATCCTAGGACAGTGGTGGGCAACCTTTTTTTTCAACTGAGCCAAATCTCGCCAAAACCACGATTGAAATTTATTTTGAGAGCCACATTTTTAAAACTGAAAATACATAGGATGGTACACTGTTTTTAGTTTCAATAAGTTTTTATAGTAATTCATCCCCCATATAGTAATTTATCCCCCATATAGTAATTCATCCCCCATAGTAATTCATCCCCCATATAGTAATTCATCCCCCATAGTAATTCATCCCCCATATAGTAATTCATCCCCCATAGTAATTCATCCCCCATATAGTAATTCATCCCCCATATAGTAATTCATCCCCCATATAGTAATTCATCCCCCATATAGTAATTCATCCCCCATAGTAATTCATCCCCCCTACAGTAATTCATCCCCCATAGTAATTCATCCCCCATATAGTAATTCATCCCCCATATAGTAATTCATCCCCCCTATAGTAATTCATCCCCCCATATAGTAATTCATCCCCCATATAGTAATTCATCCCCCATATAGTAATTCATCCCCCATATAGTAATTCATCCCCCATATAGTAATTCATCCCCCATAGTAATTCATCCCCCATATAGTAATTCATCCCCCATATAGTAATTCATCCCCCATATAGTAATTCATCCCCCCTATAGTAATTCATCCCCCCTATAGTAATTCATCCCCCCTATAGTAATTCATCCCCCATATAGTAATTCATCCCCCCTATAGTAATTCATCCCCCCTATAGTAATTCATCCCCCAAATAGTAATTCATCCCCCAAATAGTAATTCATCCCCCAAATAGTAATTCATCCCCCATATAGTAATTCATCCCCCATATAGTAATTCATCCCCCATATAGTAATTCATCCCCCCTATAGTAATTCATCCCCCCTATAGTAATTCATCCCCCATATAGTAATTCATCCCTCATATAGTAATTCATCCCACATATAGTAATTCATCCCCCATATTAATTCATCCCTCATATAGTAATTCATCCCCCATATTAATTCATCCCCCCTATAGTAATTCATCCCCCATATAGTAATTAATCTCCCATAGTAATTCATCCCCCCTATAGTAGTAGTAAGTAAGTAGCAAGTAGTAAGCCAAGTCCCCCCTGTGTCAATTCACTTACCTTTGCTCCGCACGTTCCTCTCGCCGTGTTCCCGCGCCGTTCCGGTCTTCAGGGCGGACTGTGAGAGGAGCCTAGCTCCTCTCACGTTCGTCACGCTGCCCCGCCTACACACATCCTGACAGCCAATCACTGGCTATCAGGATGTGAGTGGCAGCGAGACTGGCCAATCATTGCATTTGAGCGCGCTGCCCTGGCTGTTTTTT